GGCAACAAAACGAATTAAGGGGATGGAGGACCAAAGCTATGAGACAAGGGGGAGGGGATGGAGGACCAAAGCTATGAGACAAGGGGGAGGGGATGGAGGACCAAAGCTATGAGACAAGGGGGAGGGGATGGAGGAGAGAGATAGAGAGAGAGAGGTGGTAGTGTTCATGTCCACCCACCTACCAAGGCATTATTTTAATTAGGGATGTTCAGATACCAAGTACTGTCCCTGGTACCTGTGCAGATACTTTTCCAGCTCCAAGACTAGAGGAAAATTTAAAAATTAGGAGTCGGCTGTCATGTGTAAGGATCACATGGGACTCCTGGGATCTGTGCATCCCGCTCATAATGTATGATTTGTTGTATATATATAAAGGGATGCACAATACTATTTTTTCAAGTACAAGTACTGATACATCTCCAAGTCCTCACAGATACAAGTACTGATACATTCCAAGTCCTCACAGATACAAGTACTGATACATTCCAAGTCCTCACAGATACAAGTACTGATACCTCTCCAAGTCCTCACAGATACAAGTACTGATACATTCCAAGTCCTCACAGATACAAGTACTGATACCGGTCCAAGTCCTCACAGATACAAGTACTGATACTGGTCCAAGTCCTCACAGATACAAGTACTGATACCGGTCCAAGTCCTCACAGATACAAGTACTGATACCTCCCAAGTCCTCACAGATACAAGTACTGATACCTCCCAAGTCCTCACAGATACAAGTACTGATACATTTCAGTTTATTGTCATGTGACAGTTTTTCTTACACAATACAGACTAATGATTTCAGGACAGTGGTGGAGCGCCAGGGCCCGGTCCCAGCTGCAACCGCGGCAACCCCGGTAGTTCTCATAGAAACAACACATAGAAGCAACACAACTCCATATTAAAGGCCACGGGGGGAACATATCCATATTAATGGCCATGGTTGGGCAACTCTATATTAATGGCCATGGGGAAGGAGGGTGGGGCAAATCCATATTAATGGCCATGGGGAAGGAGGGGTGGCATAGTATTTGTCATGGAGGGGATAACTCCACATTAATGGCCATGGTTTTGGATTGTGTTCTCCAACAAGCTTATATAGGTGTGATGGTCAGAGGTCCACAGACGGCCATATAGATTATGCAAATGAGGATTAATGATATTTAGAGTAAACTTATACCCTGTGTCCCCTGTAGTCTCCTTGGGGCTGTGATCACACTGCACATGAACTTCTTAGGGCACTTACAGAAGGGGTCAGTGTAAGCAATATTTAACAAAGAACACTTTTCTTGTGCTACAAATGACTTCACTACATGTCTCAGACTCTTCCATGGTTCGGAAGAGGCGTCTTCCTACAGGAACCACAAGGGTTTACTTTAAGAAAGAAGAAGAAACAGATCATAGTGACCAATCAGATTCCAGCTGTTATTTTCCATCTGTCATTTTCCCCGTGCATGCTCGGTTCTGATTGGTTGCTAAAGGTTGTCGGAAACAGTTCCCTGGCACAGTGTTAGAAATGTGTCCCATTCTTTGTATTACCGTCTGTTACAATGTAACAAGATCTGTGCAATGTGTGAATAAAACTTTAGAAAGTTGTGTGTTTCCGTCATTACAGTATATGGTAATTGTCTCCGGGAATCTCTCTATAAAATTGTCTTATGTTGCATTGCCCATTCCCTTGCCATACCCATTCCCTTGCCATTCCCATTCTCTTGTCATGCCCATTCCCTTGCCATACCCATTCCCTTGCCATACCAATTCCCTTGCCATTCCCATTCTCTAGTCATGCCCATTCCCTTGCCATACCCATTCCCTTGCCATTCCCATTCTCTTGTCATGCCCATTCCCTTGCCATACCCATTCCCTTGCCATACCAATTCCCTTGCCATTCCCATTCTCTTGTCATGCCCATTCTCTTGTCATGCCCATTCCCTTGCCATGCCCATTCCCTTGCCATACCAATTCCCTTGCCATTCCCATTCTCTAGTCATGCCCATTCCCTTGCCATACCCATTCCCTTGCCATACCAATTCCCTTGCCATTCCCATTCTCTAGTCATGCCCATTCCCTTGCCATACCCATTCCCTTGCCATACCAATTCCCTTGCCATTCCCATTCTCTAGTCATGCCCATTCCCTTGCCATACCCATTCCCTTGCCATACCAATTCCCTTGCCATTCCCATTCTCTAGTCATGCCCATTCCCTTGCCATACCCATTCCCTTGCCATACCAATTCCCTTGCCATTCCCATTCTCTAGTCATGCCCATTCCCTTGCCATACCCATTCCCTTGCCATACCAATTCCCTTGCCATTCCCATTCTCTAGTCATGCCCATTCCCTTGCCATACCCATTCCCTTGCCATACCAATTCCCTTGCCATTCCCATTCTCTAGTCATGCCCATTCCCTTGCCATACCCATTCCCTTGCCATACCAATTCCCTTGCCATTCCCATTCTCTAGTCATGCCCATTCCCTTGCCATACCCATTCCCTTGCCATACCAATTCCCTTGCCATTCCCATTCTCTAGTCATGCCCATTCCCTTGCCATACCCATTCCCTTGCCATACCAATTCCCTTGCCATTCCCATTCTCTAGTCATGCCCATTCCCTTGCCATACCCATTCCCTTGCCATACCAATTCCCTTGCCATTCCCATTCTCTAGTCATGCCCATTCCCTTGCCATACCCATTCCCTTGCCATACCAATTCCCTTGCCATTCCCATTCTCTTGTCATGCCCATTCCCTTGCCATGCCCATTCCCTTGCCATGTCCATTCCCTTGCCATGCCCATTCCTTTGCCATGCCCATTCCCTTGCCATGCCCATTTCCTTGTCATGTCCATTCCCTTACCATGCCCACTCCCTTGCCATTCCCATTCAGAGATTGGAGATTGAAGGGGTGATGTTTCAGGCCCTGTGGGCACTAGGGTATAGGGGTTTTAGGCAATGAAGAGTAAGGACGAGTTGGGGGGTGGGGGGGGCACATCAGACATCATCACCATAGCATTGCCCTTTTTATAAGTCCCTGTGACCAGAATGGAGGGGGGTTGGGTGGAAGTTGCAATGCGAGGCTTCAGAGATGCAGCCTATGAATATTGGCCTCACCCCCTGGCCTCTGTGGCAGTGATGAATCACAAGACTGGCTGAACAGAAAATACGCTGACACAAGGTTGATACATTTGATGGATTGATTTGAATTTATTAAACTGGATGCATCATATACAGATCAGGTGATATACAGTATATAGTATATATATATATATATATATATATATATGT